CCCCAAAACCCCAAAACCCCAAAACCCCATGAGAGTTTTATGGTTTAGAGTTATAAACAAATAGGATATAAATTTATCAATAATTCATTTAAATGAAGTCTTATCACTCAAAATCTTCTATAATCGTAAAAATCTATCACATTTCTTTACTGATACGTCTAATAAGCCCTTTCAAAGCATGCCAGACTACAACAAAGAAATCCTGTTCAAACTCCGCAAGGAAGGATTCGACGATGACACAATCCTCTACTTGTCCCGGACTCGGACAACCGGAGAAATGCGGTTCACTGCAGAGTCTATCAAGGTTGACCAAGTTGAACTAGGTAACTTCCTTGATGCCTTCTTCCGAGGCTACAAGGTAGCCCACGGAATTGAAGAAAAGGTAGCCGATGTCTATGATCCCACTGTTCCCATGCACATGCTGAAGAAACCTGAAGAGAAGAAGAAAGCCACTGGTGAAGTCATCACAGGCGGTGGAGAAATGGATGTTGATATGGAATTCTTAGAAGAGAAGAAGGAAGAAGGCAAACTGGAGTTCCCCAGTTTTGCCCTACCCACTGAGGAAGGAGCTAAAGAAGTGGGAGAGAGGAAGGAAGTCGAGCCTGATGAGTTTTTTAAGAAGGATGGTTCAGAAGAGTGGGCTAGGATCGAAGAGATTAAGCTAACTCCAGCTTGTCAGAAAGGATTGATAGTGATAAGAGAAGAGAAACCTAAGAAGAATACACCTATTGGAGATTTGGATGATTATAGAGAAACTAGAGAGAAGGATTTTATCAGAAGAGAGTCGAATAAAGGCCTTTTTGATGAAGAAGCTATTGATACTGATAAACTCAACATCGCACAAGATTTATCCCAAAACAAAGTCTTTCAGAGTCCTGATAAGTTGGAAGAATTCGTCAGAAATGTAGAGAATACACATTCAATGAAACTTGAGAAATCTATTTGGAGTAGTGACACTGGGCAATATGCATTTAAATGTTGTCAAGAAAACAATCTTGAGGGAAAAAGCAAGGAATGCCCATTCACTGTCAGGTTCTACAGAGATGTGGGAAATGATGGTATTTCACTGAAATATGGTATTTTAGAGCACAATCATGGCGATAAAGAGACGATCATCCCAAATGAAGATTCTCAAGAGTGTATAAAGTACTTTGATGCACAAGATGTCAAGTTTAAGGAACAATTCATGAAAATTCCGAACGAAATCGTCAAAATGGGAATTTATCTTGCAAAAAGAGGAGTTCAGGATGAAAGTATCTTTGAAGCATCCAGGATTTATCATATGAGTACATATAGCCAAGATGTGAGCTTCAACCAAAAAAGACTTTGTGATGTCCTCTCCTCATTTGATCTGAATGAGAAGGATGAATACGACAAACAAATAGATTCTTTGAGGACTGATGAAAAAGACATGGATGAAGAGGTAGATCTGAGCGATAGTAATATTAAAACTAGACCATATCTGGAGCAAAGTATTTATAGAATGACCAAGAAGAAACCCAAGCTTTTCTTAAAGGCTCTCACTGAGAATGATGGAAGAGTTTTAGCAATGTTCATTTGAGATCAATCCAGAGTGAAAGATATGAACTATCTCAATGATGCTGTATCTTTTGATACAGGATATAAAGATCTTTTTGAAGATATGCCTATCATGGTTTTCAGTTGACTCGACAATCATGGATTTAGCTATCCACTTGCAATTTGAGTATTTTGGGTGCAGAACTCAGTCTGAATTCAGTGGGCTTTGAGAATGTATAATGAAGCAGGCTATAGAAGTCCTGAAACAGTGATAACAGATAGGGATGCTGATCTTAAATCAGTTATATCATCGATATGGCCAAAGTCAAAGCATGTGTTTTCAATTTTCCACTTATATCACAACATGCTGAAATGCTGCAAGAATAAGACTGATAAAAAGGTGAATCAATTCAAGAAGGACTTTATGGAGTGTGTTAAATCCACAACTGTAGAATGTGTTGGTAAGGCATGGACCATTCTCTGAAACTCGTATAACTCTATGGAGAGCGATCAAGGCCCTGACTTTATGAAAGAGATTTGGAAGCATAGGTATCATTGGGCGAGACAATACACCAATGACGCATTCCTATCAGGAATGCAGAGTAAGGATAAAGATATGTCCCTCAGAGATGCTTTGGTCAAAAGAGTAAAGTGCCCAAAGAACCAAGCTTGCACATTAGTGTCTATCTTTTGTGTCTTACAGGAAGAATACTTCAGAAGGCTAAAACGAGAAATTTTAGTAGCAAGGAAGATGAAATATGAAGGAAAGATCTATTCGAAACTTAAGAACAAGTTCCCAAGGTTTATCATTAAGAAGATAGAAGAGATGGAAAAGAAGAGTGATTCTAAAGACCTCATCATTGTCACTGAGAGAACTAAAGAAGGAATCAGATATCCTGTCCTTGAAGATGGGAAGACTAGGAAGAGATATAAGCTTGATTGTGGAAACTACAAGTGCCAGTGAGGAAGACTCAGCTATATGGGAATTCCTTGCGAGCATTTGATCAAGATTTTAAGAGAAGACAGTGTAGATTGGCTTGAGAAAGTCGAAAAAGGAGAACTGATCCACCCACGATGGAGACTCTAATCTTTATTTAACTAATTAGTTACTATTTTTAATAAACAAACGCTGATATTATCAAATTTATTCATGAAAATTCAAAAAATTGCATTCAATTTCAATACCACCTTTACCTAAAGGGGTTTTGGGGTTTTGGGGTTTTGGGG